CACCGTGATGATGATGAGAGAGAGAGAGACACTCAAACTCCAAATATACAGCAGCAGGCGTCAGGGTCGGGATCGAACCCACGACCTCCTGTGCACCAGGCGAGGTAGTTAACATCTCCTAGCCACCGTGGCGCCTCGTAGTCGGTGAGGCTATCATGGGTAACTAGCACCTGCTGCGCCTAAAAGCGCACTGGAAACGATGAGCGGTTCTTGCGTTCTCGAACCGGTCATTCCATTCTGAAAACGGTTACCGGTTTTCGCGGCTAACGGTTCAAACAGCAGAGGGGTTCGACCTCGACCCTGACGACGCCTGCTGCAGTAAATTTGAAGTCTGCGCGCCTCTCACCGTGATGGTCCCGTGGGATTTTTCTTTCGGGGGGGGGAGGGAGGGGTAGGGAGGGGGGGAGGGAGGGGGGGAGGGAGGAGGGAGGGGGGAGGGAGGGGGTGATGGAGGGGGGATGGAGGGGGGAGGGAGGGGGGAGGGAGGGGAAGGGAGGGGGGAGGGAGGGGAAGGGAGGGGGGGAGGGAGGAGGGGAAGGGAGGGGGGAAGGGAGGGGGGAAGGGAGGGGGGGATGGAGGGGGGATGGAGGGGGGATGGAGGGGGGAAGGAGGGGAAGGGAGGGAGGGGGGAGGGATGGGAAGGGAGGGGGGAGGGAGGGGAGGGAGGGGGGAGGGAGGGGAGGGAGGGGGGAGGGAGGGGGGAGGGAGGGGAGGGAGGGGAGGGAGGGGAGGGAGGGAGGGAGGGAGGGAGGGAGGGAGGGAGGGGAGGGAGGGGGGAGGGAGGGGGGGAGGGGGGGAGGGGGGGGAGGGGGGGAGGGGGGGGAGGGGGGGAGGGGGGGGAGGGGGGGGGGGGGGGGAGGGGGGGGAGGGGGGGGAGGGGGGGAGGGGGGGGAGTCCTCCGTTTTGTGTTCCCCTCTTGCACAGAATGAACGTCATCCCGTCTCGAGTCGTCTGACTGCCGCTTTCGCGTTTCATCACGACGGCGATGACGACGATAATCCCACTGCGTTTGCGCCATATGCAGCAGTAGCTACTAGTAGTAACTACATATGTAGTAGTAGCTAACATATGTAGTAGTAACATATGTAGTAGTATGTGGTAGTAACACATGTGTAGTAGTAGCTACTACTACACATGTGTCGTAGTAGCTACGGGCCCCGCACGTTCACTTTTAAAGTGCCCCCCGCTAAACGCTTTCAAGCTGTCAATTCCGGTTCAGTGATTCTGCACTTGCTCTATTACTATAGTACTATACCGCCTTCAACTCTTACGAACGACCGGGTGTTTAAGGTTAGCGATGTGTCGTATTATCCGGCTGTATAGCAAATGAAAACATACAATTACTTCACTATGCAAGTGAAACATTTCTGTGTTTTAATATTTTGTTTTGTTTATATTCAGGGCCCCCCCCCCCCCCCTTCAATAACAAATGCTATAGGCCCCGCACCTAGCTTCATCCGGCAGAGCACGCGGTCCGCTGTGTGTATAGCAAACTCGATTGGGCAGCCCAACGTCTGGTCAAATAATAAACTTGCCGCGCCCGGAGATCGTAGACTCGGAGGCGATACGGTCTCTGGGTGTGTGCGATGCTGACCACACCACCACCACCACCACCGCCAACGCAGCCCTGACAGCTTACCGAGTTCCAACCTGGAGGCCCGAGTTCGATTCCCGCTCACGGCCAACACCGGTGACGATCATCTGAACCGGTCCTGGGTCTTCCTCCTAGATCGACTCAGCCTCAAATGAGTACCTGGTGCGGTGGATAAAAAAAAAACACATCGCCACTGGGGAGACAGAGGCGGTCGGGCGTGGTGCTGGCCACCCACCCCCTCGTGTGCCGTTCCGGCCTTCATAGGTGCTCGCGAACAGCACTTGCCCCTACAGTCTGTTAAGGCGAAACGGGGGATCTTCATCTTTGTATATATATATGCGTGCGGCAAACCGGTTTGAACCGGTTCGATTACCTTTTAAAACCACTCGGCACTTACCGGTTTTCCCATGCGGTTACGAGGAATGTGCAAAAATAAGAGAAATATTCACAAACCTCGAAAACACAGCAGCATGCTGAGTGAGTGGGAGCAGTGGTGTTAGTGAGAGAGTGAGTGGTGGTGTTAGTGAGAGTGTGTGAGTGTGTGGGAGCGGTAGTGTGTGTGAGAGTGAGTGGCAGTGCTGGTGAGTGTGAGAGTGAGTGAGTGGGAGTGGTGGTGTTAGTGAGAGTGTGTGAGTGGTGGTGTGTGTGAGAGTGAGTGAGTGGGAGTGGTGGTGTGTGAGAGTGAGTGGTTAGTGGGAGCAGTGGTGTTAGTGAGAGTGGGAGTGGTGGTGTGTGTGAGAGAGAGTGAGTGAGTGGGAGTGGTGGTGTGTGTGAAAGTGTGTGAGTGGGAGTGGTGGTGTGAGTGAGAGAGTGAGTGAGTGGGAGTGGTGGTGAGTGTGAGTGAGTGGGAGTGGTGGTGAGTGAGAGAGTGAGTGAGTGAGTGGGAGTGGTGGTGTGTGTGAGTGTGTGAGTGGGAGCGGCGGTGAGTGGGAGCGGTGGTGAGTGTGAGAGTGTGTGTGAGAGTGGTGGTGTGTGTGAGAGTGAGTGAGTGAGTGGGAGCGGTGGTGTGAGAGTGAGTGAGTGAGTGGGAGTGGTGGTGTGTGTGAGCGTGAGTGAGTGGGAGCAGTGGTGAGTGTGAGAGTGTGTGTGAGAGTGAGTGGTGGTGTGTGTGAGCGTGAGTGAGTGTGTGAGAGTGAGTGAGTAAGTGGGAGTGGTGGTGTGTGTGAGAGTGTGTGTGAGAGTGAGTGGTGGTGTGTGTGAGAGTGAGTGAGTGTGTGAGGGTGAGTAAGTGGGAGTGGTGGTGTGTGTGAGAGTGAGTGAGTTAGTGGGAGTGGTGGTGAGTGTGAGAGTGAGTGAGTGGGAGTGGTGGTGTGTGTGAGAGTGAGTAAGTGGGAGTGGTGGTGTGTGTGAGAGTGAGTGAGTGAGTGGGAGTGGTGGTGTGTGTGAGAGTGAGTGTGTGAGAGTGAGTGGTGGTGAGTGTGAGAGTGAGTGGGAGTGGTGGTGTGTGTGAGAGTGAGTGGGTGTGTGTGAGAGTGAGTGAGTGAGAGTGAGTGAGCGTGAGTGAGTGGGAGCGGTGATGCAGCGGTTAGCGCTACGCTGCGCTCCGAACCCCGGCGACCCGAGTTCGATTTCCGCTCAAGGTCACCATACCCAGTGACGATTCTCTGAACCGGTCCAGGGGGCCTCCCCCTAGGTCGACTCGGCCTCAAATGACTGCCCCGGCGCGGTGTTAGCTCATCGCCAACGGGGAAGACAAAGGCGGCCGGGCGTGGCGCTGGCCCTCCACTCCTTCCGCGCACCGCAGTGTGCGACCTTCATAGGCGCTGGCCGACTTCGCCGACAGCGCTTGCCCCAACGCTCTGTGAAGGCTACACCGTGGGGCGGGGGATCTTTGTCTTTGTCTGGAGCGAGTTGAGCGGAGAGCGGTGGCGCAACGGTTAGCGCGGGTTCTTCTCGACCTACACCCGCCTGGGTCGGCTCAGCCTTAAAACAAAACACCTGTTGAAGAGCGAGCGAAAACGAACGAACAGACGCAGAGGAAGAATAATAATAATAAAACCCTAGACACAATGCCAAAGGAAGAAGAATAAGAAGTCCTCCCACCAGCATTGGGGAGGCAAAGGCGGTCGTGGCCGTCTCCGTGTTCGAGGTGGCCTCGCGAAGAAGCACTTGCCCCGACAGCCCGTCAGAGGCTACACGGGGGATCTTTGTCTTCTGTAGCGCGGGGTGGTGGTGGTGCTGGTGGTGGTGATGGTGGGGGTGGTGGGGGTGGTGGTGATGGTGGTGGTGGTAGGTGGTGATGATGGTAGGTGGTGGTGCTGGTGGTGGTGCGGGTGGTGGTGGGGGTGATGGTGGGGGTGGTGGTGGGGGTGGTGGTGGTGATGGTGGTGGTAGGTGGTGATGATGGTAGGTGGTGGTAGGTGGTGGTGCTGGTGGTGGTGGGGGTGATGGTGGGGGTGGTGGTGGTGGTGGTGGTGATGGTGGTGCTGGTGCTAGTGGTGGTGGGGGGTGCTGGTGGTGATAGTTGTGCTGGTGATGGTGGTGACGGTGGTGGTGATGATGGTGATGGTGGTGCTGGTGGTGGTGGGGGTGATGGTGATGGTGGGGGTGATGGTGGTGGTGGGGGTGATGGTGGTGGTGGGGGTGGTGATGGTGGTGGGGATGGTGATGGTGGTGGTGGTGATGGTGGTGGTGGTAGGTCGTGGTGGTGGTGCTAGTGGTGGTGATGGTGGTGATGGTGGTGGTGGTGATGGTGACGGTGGTGACGGTGGTGGAGGTGCTGGTGCTGGTGGTGGTGCTGGTGGTGATGGTGGTGGTGATGGTGGTGATGGTGGTGGTGATGGTGGTGATGGTGGTGGTGGTGATGGTGGTGGTGGTGGTGGGGGTGATGGTGGTGGAGGTGCTGGTGATGGTGGTGATGGTGCTGGTGGTGCTGGTGGTGCTGGTGGTGATGGTGGTGCTGGTGGTGATGGTGGTGATGGTGGAGGTGCTGGTGCTGGTGGTGATGGTGCTGGTGGTGATGGTGCTGGTGGTGATGGTGGTGGTGATGGTGGTGGTGATGGTGGTGGTGGGGGTGATGGTGGTGGAGGTGCTGGTGATGGTGGTGATGGTGCTGGTGGTGCTGGTGGTGGTGGTGCTGGTGGTGGTGGTGGTGATGGTGGAGGTGCTGGTGCTGGTGGTGGTGGCGATGGTGCGTGTTGTCTCTGAGTGGCTACGTATTTCGAGTGGGAGCTGCGTGAGTGAGCGAGCGATTCCTGGGAGGGAACGAGGTAGGGAGGGAGGGATGGGAAGGAGAGCTGGCTGCCTTTGCTGTGGGATGGGGGTGGGTGGCTGCGTGGGGGGTGGTGGTGGTGGGGGGTGGTGGTGGGGGGTGGTGGTGGGGAGGTGGAGGTGGGGGGGCGGTACCACCCACCCCACCCCACCCCCTCACCCAGCCCACCTCCCCCACCCCCTTTCATATCCAAGTGCCGCTCGAATCGCTGTCTCAGTTGAGCGCCGTGGCTCGCATCGCGACCACTCGGAGGGACGAGAAAACCCGCTCGTTGTCAGCTGCCCTGGTGGGTTCAGCAGCAGCAGCATCAGCAGCATCAGCAGCATCAGCATCAGCAGCAGCATCAGCAACAGCATCAGCAGCAGCATCATCAGCAGCAGCATCATCAGCAGCATGAGCAGCATCACTGACTCAATAATCAGGACCGCTGACTCTACACCCCATCATCATCAGCAGCATCATCAGCAGCAGCAGCATCGCCGACTCAACCATCATCAGCAGCAGCATCATCACCGACACAACCATCATCATCAGCAGCATCATCGCCGAACTCAACCATCATCAACAGCAGTACTAACTCTCCCCGTATCATTAGCATCATCATCATCAGCAGTGCAGGGACTGGCTTCTATCAGCATCACTGCCCGTACCACCACCGCCACCATCATCACTTGCAGGAGTAATATCAACGAGCAAGTTAATTGACAGCGTTTTTGCCGTTAACACAGCTATCACAGTCATAAACGGCACACACATTACTATACATCACACACACACATACATATACACACACATACACACACATTACTAAACACACACACACATAAACACACACATATATACATACACACATACACACATTACTATACATCACACACACACACATATACACACACACATTTACAGACACACACATATACACACACATACACACATACACACGCACATACACATTACTATACATCACACACACACGTACACACACACATACATACACACACACATACACACACACATACATACACACACACATACACACACATTACTATACATCACACACACAGAGGATGCCCATCGATTTGTAGCGGTGCGCGTGTTTGTAGGAACGACGGCATTGAGCAGAAGCGACGTTGTGACGACGCCGATTGTGGACGGAGTCGACGAACTCTCGCTGCTCGGCGCACCGACCGATGTTTAGTTCATCGCGTGCTCTGAAGAAGGACCGTCGCCCGGAACGTCGCCGACTCAACAAACACCACCACCAGCAGGCAGACACACACACACACACGGCGTCGTCATCATTATTGACGAAGTGTCTTCCCGATCGGCTCGGCGAGCCGTGCCGGCGCACGCGAACAACATTCGGCAAGGCAGGAATACCTCGATGGCCGTGATGGTAATTGGTAATTAGACGCGCGGTGGTGGCGGTGCTGGTGGTCCTGTGGGGGTGAGGATCGCCCCGTGGGGCTGAGCGACGCTCCTCACTCGGCTTACGCAAAGCGTTGGATGCACGCAGAGCAACAGCTGGTGACGGGAAGCTGAAGAGGGAGGAGGTGGAGGAGGAGGTGGAGGAGGTGGAGGGCGAAGCAGGAAAGGAGACGGGAAGTCTCGTGGCGAGGAGGAGGACGAGAGTCGATTGACTGCGGAGTGAGAGTCTCGCCACACCATAACACCGGGGCTATCCACACCATCACACCCGTGGCTATCCACACCATCACACCCGTAGCTATCCACACCACCACACCGTAGCTATCCACACCATCACACCGTAGCTATCCACACCATCACACAGGGGCTATCCACACGATCACACAGGGGCTATCCACACCGTCACACAGGGGCTATCCACACCATCACACAGGGGCTATCCACACCATCACACCGTAGCTGTCCACACCATCACACAGGGGCTATTCACACCATCACACCGTAGCTATCCACACCATCACACAGGGGTTATCCACACCATCACTCCGTAGCTGTCCACACCATCACACCGTAGCTATCCACATCATCACACAGAGGCTATCCACACCATCACACCGGGGCTATCCACACCATCACACAGGGGCTATCCACACCATCACACAGGGGCTATCCACACCACCACACCGTAGCTATCCACACCATCACAAAGGGGCTATCCACACCATCACAAAGGGGCTATCCACACCATCACACAAGGGCTATCCACACCACCACACCGTAGCTATCTACACCATCACACAGGGGCTATCCACACCATCACACAGGGGCTATCCACACCATCACACAGGGGCTATCCACACCATCACACAGGGGCTATCCACACCATCACACAGGGGCTATTCACACCATCACACAGGGGCTAACCACACCATAACAAAGGGGCTCTCCACACCATCACACAGGGGCTATCCACACCATCACACAGGTGCTATCTACACCATCACTCCGTAGCTGTCAACACCATCACACCATAGCTATCCACACCATCACACAGAGGCTATCCACACCATCACACCGGGGCTATCCACCCCATCACACAGGGGCTATCCACACCATCACACCGTAGCTATCCACACCGTCACACAGGGTCTATCCACACCATCACACAGCGGCTATCCACACCATCACACAGGGGCTATCCACACCATCACACAGGGGCTATCTACACCATCACTCCGTAGCTGTCAACACCATCACACCATAGCTATCCACACCATCACACAAAGGCTATCCACACCATCACACCGGGGCTATCCACACCATCACACAGGGGCTATCCACACCATCACACCGTAGCTATCCACACCATCACACCGTAGCTGTCCACACCATCACACAGAAGCTATCCACACCATCACACAAGGGCTATCCACACCATCACACCGGGGCTATCCACACCATCACACAGGTGCTATCTACACCATCACTCCGTAGCTGTCAACACCATCACACCATAGCTATCCACACCATAGCTATCCACACCATCACACAGAGGCTATCCACACCATCACACCGGGGCTATCCATCCCATCACACAGGGGCTATCCACACCATCACACCGTAGCTATCCACACCGTCACACAGGGTCTATCCACACTATCACACAGGGGCTATCCACACCATCACACAGGGGCTATCCACACCATCACACAGGGGCTATCTACACCATCACTCCGTAGCTGTCAACACCATCACACCATAGCTATCCACACCATCACACAGAGGCTATCCACACCATCACACCGGGGCTATCCACACCATCACACAGGGGCTATCCACACCATCACACCGTAGCTATCCACACCATCACACCGTAGCTATCCACACCATCACACAGAAGCTATCCACACCATCACACAAGGGCTATCCACACCATCACACCGGGGCTATCCACACCATCACACAGGGGCTATCCACACCATCACACCGGGGCTATCCACACCATCACACCGGGGCTATCCACACCATCAAACCGGGGCTATCCACACCATCACACACTGGGGCTATCCACACCATCAGCAGAACACATCGTCGCACTCCACATAACCCCCCACCCCACCACGCCCCAGCAGAGCGAGCCACACCAGCACTCCACCAATCTACACCACTCTACACCACCACCACTCTACACCACCACCACACTACACCACCACCACCCTACACCACCACCACTCTACACCATCACCACCACACTACACCACCACCATTCCACACCACCACCGTTCTACACCACCATCACTCTACACCACCACCACCACTCTACACCACCACTGTACGCCACCACTCTACACCACCACTCTACACCACCACTCTACACCACCATTCTACACCACCACTCTACACCACCACCACTCTACACCACCACAACCACCACTCTACACCACCACTCTACACCACCACTCTACACCACCACTCTACACCACCACTCTACACCACCACCACTCTACACCACCATTCTACACCACCATTCTACACCACCACTCTACACCACCACCACTCTACACCACCACCACCACCACTCTACACCACCACTATACACCACCATTCTACACCACCACTCTACACCACCACCACTCTACACCACCACCACCACCACTCTACACCACCACCACCACTCTACACCACCACTCTACACCACCACTCTACACCACCACTCTACACCACCACCACCACTCTACACCACCACTCTACACCACCACTCTACACCACCACCACTCTACACCACCACCACTCTACACCACCACCACCACCACTCTACACCACCACCACCACTCTACACCACCACTCTACACCACCACTCTACACCACCACTCTACACCACCACCACCACCACTCTACACCACCACTCTACACCACCACTCTACACCACCACCACTCTACACCACCACCACCACCACTCTACACCACCACGACTCTACACCACCACCACCACTCTACACCACCACCACTCTACACCACCACTCTACACCACAACCAATCTACACCACTACCACCACCACCACTCTACACCACCACCACCACCACCACTCTACACCACCACTATACACCAACACTCTACACCACCACCCCTCTACACCATCACCACCACTCTACACCAACACCACTCTACACCAACACGACCACTCTACACCATCACCACTCTACACCACCACTCTACACCACCACCACTCTACACCACCACCACTCTACACCACCACCACTCTACACCACCACTCTACACCACCACTCTACACCACTCTCCACCACCACTCTACACCACCACCACTAGCACCACTCTACACCACCACAACTCTACATCACCACCACCACTCTACATCACCACCACCACTCTACACCACCACCACTCTACACCACCATCACTCTACACCACCACCACCACCACTCTACACCATCACCACTCTACACCATCACCACTCTACACCACCACCACCACTCTACACCACCATCACTCTACACTACCATCACACTACACCACCATCACACTACACCACCACTCTATACCATCACCACCACTCTACACCACCACTCTACACCACCACTCTACACCACCATCACCACCACTCTACATCACCACCACTCTACACCACCACCACCACTCTACACCACCATCACCACCACTCTACACCACCACTCTACACCACCACCACCACCACTCTACACCACCACCACCACCACTCTACACCAGCACCACCACCACTCTACACCAGCACCACCATCACTCTACACCACCACCACTCTACACCACCACCACTCTACACCACCACCACCATCACTCTACACCACCATCACCACTCTACACCACCACCACTCTACACCACCACCACTCTACACCACCATCACACTACACCACCTCTCTACACCACCACCACCACTCTATACCACCACCACCACTCTACACCACCATCACACTACACCACCACCATCACACTACACCACCACTCTACACCACCACCACCACTCTACACCACCACTCTACACCACCACCACCACTCTACACCACCACCATCACACTACACCACCATCACACTACACCATCACCACTCTACACCATCACCACTCTACACCATCACCACTCTACACTACCATCACACTACACCACCATCACACTACACCACCACTCTTTACCACCAACACCACTCTACACCACCACTCTACACCACCACTCTACACCACCATCACCACCACTCTACACCACCACCACCACTCTACACCACCACCACCACCACCACTCTACACCAGCACCACCATCACTCTACACCACCACCACCACCACTCTACACCACCATCACCACTCTACACCACCACCACCACCACTCTACACCACCACCACCACTCAACACCACCACCACCACTCTACACCACCACCACTCTACACCACCATCACACTACACCACCACTCTACACCACCACCACTCTACACCACCATCACCACTCTACACCACCATCACCACTCTACACCACCACCACCACTCTACACCACCACCACCATCACTCTACACCACCATCACCACTCTACACCACCACCACCACTCTACACCACCACCACTCTACACCACCATCACCACTCTACACCACCACCACTCTACACCACCACCACCACTCTACACCACCACCACCATCACTCTACACCACCATCACCACTCTACACCACCACCACCACTCTACACCACCACCACTCTACACCACCACCACCACTCTACACCACCACCACTCTACACCACCATCACACTACACCACCACCACCACCACCACAATACACCACCACCACTCTACACCACCATCACACTACACCACCACTCTACACCACCACCACCACTCTACACCACCACCACTCTACATCGCCGCTGGGGCTGTAGCCGCTCTCTCCGCGAGCTCTCCGAGGGAGAGGGAGACGGGGAGAGATTCGCGTGCACGAGGAGCGGCATCTGAAGGTTGTGTTCACAGCAGGGGGGCGGGTTTTGGCGGGGGAGGGGGAGGGGAGGAGGGGGAGAGAGGTGGAGGAAAAGGGGGGGAGGGAGAGGGGGTGGGGAGGGAGGGGGGAGAGGGGGTGGGGAGGGAGGGGGGAGAGTGGGGTGGGGAAGGAGGGGGAGGGGGTGGAGGGGGAGGAGGGGGAGGGGGTGGGGGTCGGGGAGAGGGGGGTGGGGGTCGGGGAGAGGGGAGAGGGGGTCGGAGGGGGGGATGAGGGGGAGAGGTGGGAGGGGTAGGGGAGGATCGGGCCCGTTGGGACCCTTTAATGAGGAGGTTGAAATATTTTGAGGAAGCAGAATCGGAATTAGTTTTTATTCTCGAGGAATCCGATGAGCTATAAAGCTCTTTTTCACAGATGTCCGGTCAGAGGAGGTGGCTGTTGAAGATTCTCGAGGGTGTCAGAAGATCTTAAGGAGGTGTCGGAAGATCTTGAGGAGGCCTCTGAGGACCTCTGAGGAGGTGTTGGGAGACCTTGAGGAGGTGTCGGAATCACCTTGAGGACCTCTGAGGACCTCTGAGGAGGTGTTGGGAGACCTTGAGGAGGTGTCGGAATCACCTTGAGGACCTCTGAGGACCTCTGAGGAGGTGTTGGGAGACCTTGAGGAGGTGTTGGAATCACCTTGAAGAGCTCTGAGGACCTCTTAGGAGGTGTTGGGAGACCTTGAGGAGGTGTCGGAATCACCTTGAGGACCTCTGAGGACCTCTGAGGAGGTGTTTGTAGATCTTGACACGAAGTATTGGATGGGCTTTGAGCGCGTTGAACGAGTAATTTGAGGAGGTCGTTCCAGGACATTGAGGAACCTTGAGGAGCCTTGAAGAACTATTTGAAGGGACCACGGGAATGACTTGGGCTCGAGAAGATGACGAGGTGAGACGCAGAAAATATCTCTCTCACCCCGGCTCAATCACTCGCTCGCTCAATGTTGCATTTCACCATCGTCACCATCGTCATCATCATCAGCAGCAGCAGCATCTTCGTCACCGCAGTCATCATCAATACTACCATCATTAGCACAAATGTCATCATTGCTATCATAATCATCACCACCATCATCATGACCATGATCACAACCATCGTCACCACCTCCACGATCATCACCATCATCACAACCATCATCACCACCTCTACGATCGTCATCACCACCACCATCATCACCACCTCCACGATCATCACCATCATCACCACCTCCACGATCATCACCATCATCACCACCATCTCCACGATCATCACCACCATCATCACCACCTCCACGATCATCACCATCATCACCACCATCATCACCACCTCCACGATCATCACCATCATCACCACCATCAGCACTACCTCCACGATCATCATCACCATCATCACCACCATCATCACCACCATCACCACCTGCACGATCATCACCATCATCACCACCATCATCACCACCTCCACGATCATCACCATCATCACCACCATCATCACCACCTCCACGATCATCACCACCTCCACGATCATCACCACCATCATCGCCACCTCCACGATCATCACCACCATCATCACTACCTCCAGGATCATCATCACCACCTCCACGATCATCGACACCATCATCACCACCTCCACGATCATCACCACCAGCATCACTACCTCCACGATCATCATCATCACCATCATCATAACAACCACAATCATCACCACCTCCACGACCATCTCTATCATCACCACCTCCACGATCATCACCATCATCACCACCATCATCACTACCTCCACGATCATCATCACCATCATCACCACCATCATCACCACCTCCACGATCATCACCATCACCATCATCACTACCTCCAGGATCATCATCATCACCACCATCATCACCACCTCCACGATCATCACCATCATCACCACCATCATCCCCACCATCATCACTACCTCCACGATCATCATCATAACAACCACCATCATCACCTCCACGATCATCACCATCATCACCACCATCATCACCACCATCATCACCACCTCCACGATCATCACCATCATCACCACCTCCACGATCATCATCACCATCATCACCACCATCATCACCACCTCCACGATCATCACCACCATCATCACTACCTCCACGATCATCATCATCACCATCATCATAACAACCACAATCATCACCACCTCCACGACCATCTCAATCATCACCACCTCCACGACCATCTCTGTCATCACCACCTCCACGATCATTATCACCATCATCATAACAACCACAATCATCACCACCTCCACGACCATCTCTATCATCACCACCTCCACGATCATCATCATCACCATCATCATAACAACCACAATCATCACCACCTCCACGACAATCTATATCATTATTATCAACACCACGATCACCTCCTCAACCTCCTCCACCACCGCCATCGTCTATGGGGAGCGGTTAACGCCCCATCGCTTCACGTGACATCAACATTCTCGGACGCAACAGAACCTGAAAATAACGTTGTGCTGACGTCCGCCGACGAGACGGATCGACAATACCAGTCAAAAACGATCACCCTGGTGTGGCGTGTGAAACATCGCCACTGGGAGAGACAAAGACGGCCGGGCGTGGTATTTGCCCGCACACTCCACACAACCCCCCCCCGCCTCGTTCGCAGCACTTGCCCCAAAAGCCCGTCGGAGGCTATACGGAGGCGAAGGTTCTTTGTCTTTCCCTTTGCCGCAGCGCGCAGCCGTGAGATATGTCGACGCCTTTGACGAGAGGCGATCGTCCAGCAGTGGACCGACCGCGCGATGACACCGCTCCACCCGCTCCACCTGCTGCACTCTCTCCACCCGCTCCCCTCGCTCCACCCGCTCCATCCGCTCCACTCACTCCACCCACTCCACCCGCTCCACCCGCTCCACCTGCTGCACTCTCTCCACCCGCTCCCCCAGCTCCACCCGTTCCACTCTCTCCCCTCGCTCCCCCCACTCCCCCCGCTCCACTCTCTCCACTCTCTCCACTCGCTCCACTCACTCCCGCCCTCACGTCCGTGTTGACCCTCACGTCCGACACGTGGCAATCGCCTCTCGTGGATTTCCCATTGTAAACGAAGACAAAGAACTCGCACCACCCCCTCCTCCTCCTCCCTCCTACTCCTCCCTCCCCCTCCCTCCTCCTCCTGCCTCCTCCTCCCTCCTCCGCTACCTCCTATTCACTCCTCCTCCCTCCTCTTCACTCCTCCCTCCTCCTCCTCCCTCCTCCTGCCTCCTCCTCCCCTCCTCCTCCTCTTCACTCCTCCTCCCTCCTCCTCCCTCCCTCCCCATCCTCCTCCTCCTGCCTCCTCCTCCTCCTCCTCTTCACTCCTCCTCCCTCCCCATCCTCCTCCTGCTCCCTCCTCTGATAGACTTCAGCAAACTGAGTGCCTGCCAGGTGCTGCGAGCGAGCAGCAGCACCACCACCACGAAGCAGGTGAACAGTTCACGCGGAGTTTCCCTGTGACCGAAGAAAGTTCTTGAATCGGGTTTCATCAACAGATCAACAACAACAACAACAGCGGCAAATGTAACAAAAACAATCACAAAACACAACGCTTGCAACAGGTCGCAATAAAAAAAAACTATGAATGCGATGAATACGGCGATGAAGAAAAGTGAACAAATGTTAACAATGTACAATATAAACAGGAGCATTAAGATCGGAAGGTCGACGCGGGCACGCACGACACCACGCCCGGCCGCCTTTGTCTCCCCACCCCGCCCCCAGAGTGGCGATGTTGCCGCTCGAGACGTTGAGTCGACCTCGGTGTGGCACGTGGGTGGACGTGAAACAGCGGGGCTCCGCTTAGCCACGTGTGTCGCGCGCCACGAGCCTCGAGCAGGCATCGCGGTACCTGTCTCGAGACGCTAAACAGGCTTGACGAGAAGAGGTTTCAACCTTGCTGGCAATGTAACGGGACGTGAGCTGAGATGCGAACGCACAACCAGAATGGCAACTTTTGCAAGGAATCCAAAGACAGTATTTGTTCGTGATACGTAAGAATTATTATACTGGTAGGAACGAAGTTGTAAATTGAGTGTACCAGCCTGCAATAGATTAATGTGTCCGTCCGTCCGTCCCCTTTCAATACTTTAACGAAGTGAAATGTCGTGCTGTTGGGGTGTAAAATCAGCAATAGACAGCGCAGAGACTTGTCCTACCAGCCCACCCTGCAGGGACCTGTTAAATGATAATGACGTGCCCTTCTTTTTCATCGAAGCACATATCTAGATTGAAAGTTATTCTGATTTGAAACTTTCGTGACTGCGGGGATTCATATTCTTGGTTCTTTCGGTAAAGTCACGTAGAAGGGAAACAATAAGATAATAAAAAATATAAAACAATAAAATGCTCACGAAGTTTCGACTGCAACACAAGCAATCATCATCAGGTGTGATGATCAGGTGTGATGATGATTGCTTGTGTTGCAGTCGAAACGTCGTGAGAATTGTATTGTTTTATATTTTTATTATTGTATTGTTTCCCTTCTACGTGTGGTTGTCACACCTGATGATGATGATGATTGCTTGTGTTGCAGTCGAAACGTCGTGAGAATTTTATTGTTTTATATTTTTATTACTTTATTGTTTCCCTTCTACGTGGTGACTTTACCGAAAGGACCAAGAATGCACAGTACTTGTGGTGGTGAGCTTGCAGACAAACAACATTTCTCTGCTAGTATATGATGCGTTGTTTATTTTATTTTTAAACGGATTGGTCCACACCAGAGACGGCTTTCTTTAGAGCAGGCGGTGGGGGAACGTCCGGCCCGCGGGGCCGTGTGAGGCCCGCGAAATAATTTGGGTCTCTGGCCCTGCCAAGGCAAGCGCAGGCGGGACTCGACATTCAACAAATCGAGGTAGAGCAAACGTGGAAAAGCAGTTTTTTGCGAGGAGCAGCAACATCGTCAGTACCGGCTAACATCATCACACGCCTCGCTAAAGAGAAGCAGTTCCAGCCATCGCATTAGGGGCGAGTTAATTAAAATGTTTGACCAAATATAACGGGCTAACTTTGAAGTTGATCACTTTTTTTTATGGCCCGCGAATGATGTTATATCAATATCCAAATGGCATATCGGCAGAAAAAGAGGTTCCTCCACCCCTGCCTTAGAGCCTCTCGTCTCAAACGGTGTTAAGACCAGAGGACGCCAAAAGGCGAAACGGCACTACAACGGCGCATCACATCCTCATCGGAGCATGTTGGGTTTGCCTTCGCATGTTTCACCAACAGTATATGCGCTTAATGCAGACTGGACTCCCGTGCAAAAGGTTTCGGTCTGCTGTGTTAGCATCTTAACGCATATTCTTGGTTCTTTCGGTAAAGTCACGTTGAAGGGAAACAATAAAATAATAAAATACATATAAAACAATAAAATTCTCACGACGTTTCGACTGCAACACCTGATGATGACTGTTCGTGTTATAGTCGAAACGTCGTGAGAATTTTATTGTTTTATATATTTTTTATTATTTTATTGTTTCCCTTCTACGTGACTCTACCGAAAGAACCAAGAATATGAATCACTGCAGTCACGAAAGCTTTCAATCAAAATCTTAACGCATCTCAGAATGTTTCATTGCCCGAAACGGTTCAACCTCCTCTTGTACCGTAAGCAGACTGCAGGGGCAAGTGCTGTTAGCGAGCAGCACCTATGTAGGCCGCCACTGTGCCACACGAAGGGGGTGGGTGGCCAGCACCACGCCCGGCCGCCTTTGTCTCTCCCAGTGGCGATGTTTTTACGCACGGCACCAGGTACTCTTTTTTTGAGGCTGAGTCGACCTAGGGGAGGCCCGGGACCGGTTCAGATAATCGTCACTGGGTGTTGGCGGCCGTGAGCGGGAATCGAACTCGGGTCGCCGGGGTTTCGTAGCGCAGCGTAGCGCTAACCGAAGCGCCACCGCTCCCCACGCACAAGACCAAGACAAATATCCCCCAAATAGCCTTAGCAGGCTGTTGGGGCAAGTGCAGGTAGGAACGGTACACGAGGCAGTGGTCGGGTCCAGCATCAAGCCCGACCGTACACAAAGACAAAGATCGCCCGTATAGCCTTGACGGACTGTTGGGGCAAGTGCTGTTAGCGAGCGCCGATGAAGGCCGGCACGGCACACGAGGGGGTGGGTGGCCAGCACCATGCCCGTACGCACGCACACAGACACACAGACAAAGACACACGCACACAGACACACACATTAGTAACAACTCAACGGGGAGTTTGTATTTTTCAGCTCTATGCCGCTACAGTTCAAATTGCAGAGCGAGAGGGAGAATATTAACGCATTCTACGGATGATAAGACGAACCAGTTGGTACTGCGTCTTATAATTCGGTGTGCGTGTGCGTGCATAGGTGTGCGTGTGTGTGTGTTCATAGGCGTGGGGAGCGGTGGAGCAGTGGTTAGCGCTACGCCGCGCTATGAACCCGGCCACCCGAGTTCGATTCCCGCTCACGGCCAACATCAGTGACGATTTTCTGAATCGGTCCTGGGCCTCCCCCTATGTCGACTCAGCCTCAAATGAGTACCTGGTGCGGTGTGTAGTAAATATTGTCACTGGGGAGACAAAGGCGGCCGGGCGTGGTGTTGGCCACCCACCCCATCGTGTGCCGTGCCGGCCATTTCTAGGTGCTCGCTAACAGCACTTGCCCCAACAGTCTGTTAAGGCTATACGGGGATATTTGTCTGTTGTGTCTGTGTGTGTGTCTGTGTGTGTGTGTACACCGTATATCGGTGTGTGTGTACACCGTATATCGGTGTGTGTGTCTGTGTGTGTACACCGTATATCGGTGTGTGTGTCTGTGTGTCCAAGGTTGTGCAGTTGGTGAGCACCTATGAGGCTATACGGGGGATCTTTATCTTTGTAGACACTGTGTGTATATACACACTGTGAGGCTACACGGGGGATCTTTGTCTTTGTGTTCGTGGTGCTAGCCACCCCACCCCCTCGTGTGTCACAGCGCCGACCTTCATAGGCGCCGCTCCTCGCTAGCAGCACTTGCCCCAGCAGTCTGGTGAGGCTACACGGGGGATCTTTGTCTTTGTAGACACTCTGTGTGTATAAAAACTAACCACTGCTCCACTTGCCCCAGCAGTGTGGTGAGGCTACACGGGGGATCTTTGTCTTTGTAGACACTGTGTGTGTGTGAGGCTACACGGGGGATCTTTGTCTCTGTAGACACTGTATGTGTGTGTATACACACTGTGAGGCTACACGGGGGATCTTTGTCTTTGTAGACACTGTGTATAAAAACTAACCACTGCTCCACTTGCCCCAGCAGTGTGATGAGGCTACACGGGGGATCTTTGTCTTTGTAGACACTGTGTGTGTATACACACTGTGAGGCTACACGGGGGATCTTTGTCTTTGTAGACACTGTGTGTGTGTGTGAGGCTACACGATCGGGCTCTTTGTGTCTGCGTGTGGCCGGGTTCTGTGTGGATTTGATTGACGCACATATTTGGGGCGCGTCTGACTTTCCCGAGCGTCTCGCGATCCTGAGATTACGGCTAAGCCCGTTTCATGTTCTGCATGAAATATAAATACATATGGATATCGCGGCGTAGCAAACACCGCACCTTTGGCATTCATACCGAAAACTGTGGGCACAATGCGACTTAAGAGTGCAGCGAGAAGCCACGGCGAAACGTACCCTGGGAATTGCATTGAGACGTTTAATGAAACATGGAACGATTGTAAACTGTATTTTATTTTAGCAGGTGATTAGTAAGGGGCCCGCTGAGCTACGTAGCGACCTCCTGGCTATCACAAATAGCGAAGTGGCTCATCGTCGTCCTCATCATCGTCCTCCTCATCATCGTCTAGCGGCAGCCAAACAGCTCCAAACGCCGCCACGTTGATTCTAAACGTGGTGCGGAAAAAAGCGGAGGACCCCCGCGACCACACGGGGAGAGAGAGAGACACGCAGACTCCAAATATACAGCAGCAGGCGTCAGGGTCGGGATCGAACCCACGACCTCCTGTACACCTGGCGAGGTAGTTAACATCTCCTAGCCACCGTGATGATGATGATGATGAGAGAGAGACGCAAACTCCAAATATACAGCAGCAGGCGTCAAGGTCGGGATCGAACCCACGACCTCCTGTGCACCAGGCGAGGTAGTTAACATCTCCTAGCCACCGTGATGATAATGAGAGAGAGACACGCGCAGACTCCAAATATACAGCAGCGGGCGTCTGTGTCGGGATCGAACCCACGACCTCCTGTATACCATGCGAGGTAGTTAACATCTCCTAGCCACATTGAACTTCATCCAACAGTGAATGGATCATGGTTGATTGATGATGATGATGACGACAGAAAGATGACTCGTGACGCGACACATTCCCGCGACGACGATGATGACGACAGAAAGATGACTCGTGACGCGACACATTCCCGCGATGACGATGATGACGACAGAAAGATGACTCGTGACGCGACACATTCCCGCGATGACGATGATGACGATGGTACTAACGGACAATAACGCGTGCGTCGTTCTGTTGTTCTTGTTGTTGTTGTTGCTGCTGCTGCTGCTGCTGCTCGCAAGACCGTGACGTCGCACGCCGCACGTGGACACCCACGGCGATGATTGAACTCCTCGCCACCGCTCGGGGTTGAACTCGGACTTGAGCCCCGCGCGCTCCAAGAGCGCGCACCGCCCACGTCGCTAGCGGTGCCAGGCTAGGTGCACCCTCAAGGCCGTGAGGCCGTGCGAAGGCTCTGCTGCTGCTGCTGCTGCCGCTGTTGGCAGGGGGGAGGATCACGGCACAACCCAACCCAAGATGCGGGAGACGTCACCGCAGCGCTAGCGGTGCCAGGCTAGGTGCACCCTCAAGGCCGCGAAGCGTGCCAAGGCTCTCTGCTGCTGCTGGGAGGAGGAGGGGGGGTCGCGCGAGACAGACACCGCAGGTGAAATGGGTTGAGTGGCCGAGTCGAGCGGCAGATGCACCAACACCTGTGGAGTGCTACACCCCATCCCCGCCCGCCCCTCGACTGTGCCAACTCACCTGCGTTTTATGCGCCCGCGGGCTTCCGGCTCGTTGTTGTGAGCGCCGCAGCTCCACCACCCCTCGCTGTTTGCCGGAGGGCGACTTCCCTGCAACTGCCCACACAAGACAAAGATCCCCCGCATAGCCTGCAAAGGGCTGTCGGGGCAAGTGCTGTGACGCTCACAACACACAACACAAAGACCCCCCGCATAGCCCGCAAGGGGCTGTCGGGGCAAGTGCTGTGACGCCCACAACACACAACACAAAGATCCCCCGCATAGCCTGCAAGGGGCTGTCGGGGCAAGTGCCGTGACGCCCACAACACACAGCACAAAGATCCCCCGCATAGCCCGCAAGGGGCTGTCGGGGCAAGTGCTGTGACGCCCACAACACACAAGACAAAGATCCCCCGCATAGCCTGCAAGGGGCTGTCGGGGCAAGTGCCGTGACGCCCACAACACACAGCACAAAGATCCCCCGTAGAGCCTGCAAGGGGCTGTCGGGGCAAGTGCTGTGACGCTCACAACACACAAGACAAAGATCCCCCGTATAGCCTGCAAGGGGCTGTCGGGGCAAGTGTACACAAAGACAAACGCGCACACACACACACACACCCACGATGTTTTACAACTGCTCGGACGTCGACTGCAGCGCTGCCGTCGGCATCGGCGGTGTCGGAGGAGGAGACGGTGTCGGAGGTGGTGGTGGTGGTGGCTACACTCCATCGGTGCGGCAGGAGGTCGAGCAACAGGGGCAGGAGCAGCACCCCTCGGGCTCGCTGGCCACGCAGGTGTCGCTGTCCATCGTGCTCGCCCTCGTCACGCTGGCGACGGCGCTTGCGAACGCCTTCGTCATCGCCACCATCTGGCTGAGCCGCAAGCTCCACTCGCCCGCCAACTACCTCATCGGCTCGCTCGCGCTCACCGACCTCCTCGTCTCCGTGCTCGTCATGCCCCTGTGCATCCTGTACACGGTGAGCGGACGCTGGACCCTGGGGCCGGTGTTGTGCGACGTGTGGCTCTCGTCGGACATCACCTTCTGCACGGCCTCCATCCTCCACCTGTGCGTCATCGCCCTCGACCGCTACTGGGCCATCACCGACGCGGTGAACTACGCGGCGCGGCGCACGTGGAGGCGCGCCGGCGCAATGATCGCCGTCGTGTGGGTCATCTCGGTCTCCATCTCGCTGCCGCCCTTCTTCTGGCGCCAGGCGAAGGCCGAGGAGGTGTTCGAGTGCGTCGTGAACACCGACAAGATCCTCTACACGGTCTACTCGGTGTGCGGCGCCTTCTACCTGCCCACACTGGTGCTCATCCTCCTCTACGGGAAGATCTACCACGCGGCGCGGTCGCGCATCCTCCTGCAGCACCACCAGCACCACCACCAGCACCACCCGCAGGACCACAACACGCCAGGGCAGCGGCAGCAGCAGCAGCAGCAGCAGCGGCGGCAGCGGCGGCGGCAGTGGTACGATGGGCCGCGCGGCAAAGGCAAGAAGGTGGCGTGGATCGGCAGCTCCCTCGGCAAGAGGCTCGCGTCGGCAAGGTTGCTGGACGTGACGACGTCGCGGCTGTCCGTGCGCTCGCAGGACGTGCGACAGCAGCAGGAACAGCACCAGCAGCAGACGCAGGAGGTCCTCAATCATCATGATAACCATCAGCACCACCAGCAGCAGACGCAGCAGACGCAGGAGGTCCTCAATCATCATGATAACCATCAGCACCACCAGCAGCAGACGCAGGAGGTCCTCAATCATCATGATAACCATCAGCACCACCAGCAGGAGACGCAGCAGACGCAGGAGGTCCTCAATCATCATGATAACCATCAGCACCACCAGCAGCAGACGCAGGAGGTCCTCAATCATCATGATAACCATCAGCACCACCAGCAGCAGATGCAGCAGATGCAGGAGGTCCTCAATCATCATGATAACCATCAGCACCACCAGCAGCAGACGCAGGACGTCCTCAACAATCATGATAACCATCAGCACCACCAGCAGCAGACGCAGGAGGTCCTCAATAATCATGATAACCATCAGCACCACCAGCAGTTGATGCAGGAGGTCCTCAATCATCATAGCCATCAGCACCACCAGCAGTTGATGCAGGAGGTCCTCAATCATCATAGCCATCAGCACCACCAGCAGCAGACGCAGGAGGTCCTCAATAATCATGATAACCATCAGCACCACCAGCAGCAGACGCAGGAGGTCTTCAATCATCATGATAACCATCACCACCACCAGCAGCAGACGCAGGAGGTCCTCAATAATTATGGCCATCAGCACCACCAGGAGCTGATGCAGGAGGTCCTCAATCATCATAGCCATCAGCACCACCAGCAGCTGATGCAGGAGGTTCTCAATCATCATGGCTATCAGCAGCAGCAGATGGAGGAGAAGGTCTTCAATCGCCATAAGCACCACCACCAGCAGCAGCAGATGGAGGAGGTCTTCAATCACCATGGCCATCACCAGCAGCAGCAGCAGCAGCAACTTGACGATGATGGCGACTACATCCACAGTGGTCAAACATCAGCAGCATTAGCGGCAGCATCGGCATCATCAGCAGCAGCAGCATTAGCGGCAGCAGCATTAGCAGCAGCATCGGCATCATCAGCAGCATCGGCATCATCAGCAGCATCGGCGTCATCAGCAACATCGGCACCGTCAGCAGCAGCAGCATTAGCGGCAGCATCAGCACCACCAGCAGCATCGGCATTCGCCGCAGCATCGGCACCATCACCAGCAGCAGCATTAGCGGCGGCAGCGGCGGCATTAGCAGAATCATCATTAGCAGGAGCATCATCGTCATCATCATCATCATCATCAGCAGCAGCAGCATCATCAGCAGCAGTGGCATCATCAACAGCAGCATCAGCATTAGCAGAATCATCACTAGCAGCTACAGCAACATCAGCAGCGGCATCATCATCAGCATCACCAGCAGCATCAGCGGCATCATCATCATCAGCGGCATCATCATCATCAGCAGCATCAGCATCGCCGGCTTTGACACGGGACAGCGGCATTGAGGGTTCCCCGGGGGGCCGCAGCCTCGCCTCCTCCTCGTCCGCCTCCTCCTCGTCCGCCTCCTCCTCCTCTTCGTCCCTGCTGCTGCTGCGGTGGTCGTCGTCGTCACCGAGACGGAAGGGCACCTCCATGGCCCGCTACCTCCTGGGCCACGGGCACGGCAAGTTGGGAAGACCTCGCTTTGTCGTCGGCGCTGGCGGCGGCGGCGGCGGCGTTGATGGTGAGGGCATCTCCGTTGGTGGTGGTGGTGGTCGTGGTGACATTGACGGTGACGGCAGCTCCCTTGGTGGTGGTGTTGGTGGTCGTGGTGGTGTTGGCGGCGGCGGACGACGCGTCGGCACCAACTCGCGCTTCTCGCCCCTGGCGAGGCCCAAGAGGGCCACGTGGGTGACTCGAGACGCGACCGGCGCCACCAGCACAGCCGCCGCCGCCGCGAGGCCCGGCAGCGGCGACAGCGTCCGCGTGAACGTGGCCGACTCGCTCTGCGAACGCCGGCGGATCGCCGCGGCTCGCGAGCGCAAGGCCACGACGACCCTGGGGGTCATCCTGGGGCGCGTTCATCGTCTGCTGGCTGCCCTTCTTCCTCGCCAGCCTCATCCTGCCCATCTGCCAGCCCCGCTGCTGGTTCGCGCCGGCCCTCTTCGACTTCTTCACGTGGCTCGGTTACCTCAACTCGCTCGTCAATCCCGTCATCTACACGTGGTTCAACGAGGACTTCAAGCAGGCCTTCCAGAAGCTCGTGCGGTGCAAGCAGATCTACTGAGAATGAGGTGCGCCCTGCGGGGGGAGGGGAGTGGCGTGGGGCCGGGATTGGTCAGGGGTCCGGGTTAGGTCCGGCCGAGAGTTGAAACTATTCAGCTGCGAACGCCGATTGCGTCTCTTGCATCTGAGGCCGGGCAAAGGCTACGTAGCGATCTCTGGACATCGCAAATTGACGGCGGTGGATTCTCGTCACCACGTGTGAAATGTGTTAGCGGCGGCCAAATTTGACTCTGAACGCGTGACGTCGATTTTCAATGTGGAAGGGGAGGGGGGGGGGGGTGGAGGAAAAAAAACCCGGAGTGGCGTCGGGGAACAAAATCCACCCCATCACGGGGAGAGAAAGAGAGAGAGAGAGAGAGACTCAAACTCCAAATATACAGCAGAGGGCATCGTCAGGGTCGGGATCGAACCCACGACCTCCTGTACATCAGGCGAGGTAGTTAACATCTCCTAGCCACCCTGATGATGATGAGAGAGAGACACGCAAACTACAACAATACAGCAGGCGTCAGGATCGGGATCGAACCCACGACCTCCTGCATACCAGGCGAGGTAGTTAACATCTCTTAGCTACCGTGATGATGATGATGAGAGAGAGAGAGAGACGCAAACTCCAAATATACAGCAGGCGTCAGGATCGGGATCGAACCCACGACCTCCTGTACATCAGGCGAGGCAGTTAACATATCTTAGCCACCGTGATGATGATGATGAGAGAGAGAGAGAGACGCAAACTCCAAATATACAGCAGCAGGCGTCAGGATCGGGATCGAACCCACGACCTCCTCCATACCAGGCGAGGCAGTTAACATCTCCTGGCCACCGTGATGATGATGATGAGAGAGAGAGAAACCACGCAAACTCCAAATATACAGCAGGCGTCAGGATCGGGATAGAACCCACGACCTCCTGTATATCCGGCGAGGCAGTTAACATCTCCTGGCCACCGCGTGGATGACCCGGGCGTTGTGAGACCTCCTGCCGCTGGCGTCCATGGGGCTCGCGCGGATCGTCTCGGCCGCGGGGGACGCGGCGATGGGAGTCGAGGGCCGAGGAGGAGTCGAGAAGGGAGCGGAGGGCCTCTGGCTGCTGGCCACGGCCAGGGAGGCCAAGTCCACTGGTGCGGCGTCTTCAGAACCTCGTCGCTGACGTCCGGCGTCGACTACCCGCGGCGCTTGGGGCTACTCTGGGCAACCCCCCCACCCCCCACCCCCCACCCCCCACCCCCCTCCGGTTGACCTCCCTCCCCTACGTGTAAACAACAACAACAACACAACAAGAGCACAACAACAACCACCACACTCGTTATGAATGGAGTTGGCCATACGTCTCAATATAGGAACGCAGAACTTGGGCAACTGTTGTTGTTAACGCCGGTTCTGACTGCTGCCTATCACCTGCTCGTTATAACAGCAGCAACAACAACAACACAAAAACAACAATACTCGTTATGAATGGAGTTGGCCATACGTCTCAATATCGGATCGCAGAACTTGGGCAACTGTTGTTGTTAACGCCGGTTCTGACCGCTGTCTATAAACCTGCTCGTTATAAAAACAGCAACAACACAAGAACAACAACAATACTCGTTATGAATGGAGTTGGCCATACGTCTCAATATCGGATCGCAGAACTTGGGCAACTGTTGTTGTTAAACGCCGGTCTGTGAATCGTCCTCTGACGCTCTCTCTCTCTCTGAAGCTCTTTCTCCCTCTCTTCCTCTCTCTCCGAATCTCTCTCTCACTCTGAAAGCAGTGAAGGGCATCGTGTCCCCGTCACACGTGCGCGTGTGTCTGATAATCATGACAATAATCAATTGTTCTAGTAATCATTTACCGACACGGTGATCTCGATGCAATCTCGCACCTGTTCGCCAGCGACAAAAAAAAACGCCGAGCGTTTCACCGTGCGAGTTGTTACGGTACTGTGTTACTTCCCGTAACCCTAATGCACTGATTATTGTTGATGATCATGGTGGTGGTGGTGATTCTCACCATCTCACCTATCCGTGATTGTAATCATGATGTTGACGATAGCTGATGATGATGGATCGATCGATCATCGTCATCGTCGTCGTTCATCATTCCTCGCCGTTGATCGCAATCAATATTGACAATCAGTGTCGGATCAATCATTGATCACTGATCATGCCCCGATGAGAACGATCCTCGTACACTCAAGCGAGCACCGAGCCATCGAGTGCTCGCCTCCTGTTTACAGCCGAGAGACGGCGGTGGACATTCGACGTTCCTATGGCAGGGGACGAGTCGTCTAATCCATTGGACAACCGCCCTCGATCTTCCTCGCCGAAAGCGGTGCTCGTTTTATCGACCCCGGAGGGAGAGAGGGACGACGACGATGATGATGATGAGCTCAGCCAATCCTCTCCACCTCCTCCCCCATAAATCGGGAGTTGAACTCGTCGCTTTCGCAGCTGAGCAGCAGCTGCGTGACCGGCTGCGACCTTTTAATCAATTTTCATAATCCCTGCAAATGTACCTGCCATTAATACAAACCCCACCCCCATCATCATCAGCATCATCATCAGCAGCAGCAGCGGCAGCAGCGGCGAGGGCTGCTTCTGCGGCATATTCCCCTTCCATCATCGCTCGACAACGGCGTTAATGGCTAATCGATGAGATCGATGTTTTGCCATTATCCGCCCATTGTGCTCGTCACGCTCTTGTATCGATCATGGGCGCCGCGTCGCCATGCGTCGAAGGTGGATTTTGTGTGGGGGGGGGGGGGGGTTGGGGTTCCTTAAATAGGGGGAGGTCGCCAATCGACTATTCATGTAATGGGTTTGGAGTCGCTTTAAACGTCGCCAAGCGTAGGATCGCAGAGCTCGGGAAATTCTGAAGGGGTTTTGAGTCTTTAGCTCGTCCTGACACACGCACGCTGGGGAGATTCCCTGCCCAGGTGCTCCGCTTTTCCGTTGTTGTTTTTTTTTTAAAGTTTGTTCATTTATATGACAAGGGGCCGTCCATAAATGACGTCACGCACCTAGGAGGGGGCGGGGGGGGTGTCAGATATTTGTGACGATGTGTGACGAGGGGGGGGGGGGGGGGTGGAGGTTGAGAAATGTGACGTCACGTGCAAATGCGCAACTTTATAAATAAATATAGGCAACACGTTCTACTTAATTAAATAGACTTCATAATAAATGTTTTCTCCTACAACATCAGAGTGCAGCGCCACATTAAATACGCACTACAATGACGATAGTTTAAAGCGATATATTTTTTTTGGGGGGGGAGGGGGGCAGAGCTTTGTGACGTCATATTTGAGGGGGGGTCTGACTTTTTGTGACGCCGTGTGACGAGGGGGGGGTGGTGGTCAAAAATCGTCCAAAACCGCGTGACGTCATTTATGGACGCTCCCTCCTACTGAGTCGACATTGGCGGCTCTTTAGCAGAGTCGACCCCAAGGCGATCGACAATAATAGCCCGAGAGAGCAAGTGGGGGGAGTGTTGTTGTCACGTGGTCACGGACATGGCGGCAGTCAAATAACTCTGAACGGGTGACGTTGATTCTTAAATGGGAGAGAGAGAGAGAGACACACAAACTCCAAATATACAGCAGCAGGCGTTAGGGTAGGGATCGAACCCACGACCTCCTGTACACCAGGCGAGGTAGTTAACATCTCATAGCCACCGTGGTGATGATGAGAGAGAGAGACACGCAAACTCCAGATATACAGCAGCAGGCGTCAGGGTCGTGATCGAACCCACGACGTCCTGTATACCAGGCGTGGTAGTTAACATCTCCTAGACACCGTGATGATGATGATGATGAGAGAGAGACACGCAAACTTCAAATATTCAGCAGCGGGCGTCAGGGTCGTGATCGAACCCACGACCTCCTGTATACCAGGCGAGGTAGTTAACATCTCCCAGCCACCGAATTGGCCAAAACGTCCAAATATAGGATCACGGAGCGTGGGTAAGTGTGGGTTTCGGTTATGTGGCTTCCTGCGTCAATGAATCATTCTCTCTCTCTGAATCATTCTCAATCTCTCTCTGAATCATTCCCTCTCAGTGAGAGAGAATGACATCTGTGCGCACTACATTTTCCAGCGCGTGAGATGCAATTCCCATGAATAATGCCTCTATATGTAAATGCATTGTGATTAACACGACTCATTATAATTACGATCCTCATCATTCTCTGTCTTGTTATTGTCATCACGCTAATAGTTTTCACGGAACATCTAAATCATCATCAGCAGTAGGGTCATTACAGCCATCACCACCACCACCACCATTGCCATCATCGCTATCATCAGCACCACCACTGTCATCAGCACCAAAGACAAAAATGCCCCGTATAGCCTGAACAGACCTTTGAGACAAGTGCTGTTAGCGAGCACCTATCAGCGGTCGGCACGACACACGAGGTGGGGCGGGTGACCAGCGCCACGCCCGGCCGCCTTTGTCTCCCCAGCATCGACGTTCGCGCGCCACACTCGTTACTCAATTTGAGGCTGAGTCGACCTAGGGGAGTCCCAGGCACCGGTTAAAATAATCTTCGCTACGGATGTTGGTGGCCGCAGGCGCGGATTCGAATCCCGGGGTCACCGTGGTTCAGAATCGCAGCGGCGCAGCGGCGCTAACCGCTGCGCCACCGCTCCCCCCCCCCCGGCTCAAGATGTGTCGACAGCGCCCTCTGCTGCTCAAAAGGGAAATAAAAACAAAGGCAAAGGGAGGGGTGCGATCGCCCCACGTAGCTCAAGGGGAGTCCAAGGATGAATGGAGAGCATCAGCTCGCGTTGAAATCAGAACTGTTTGGTCCTTTCGGTAAAGAACCACACAGAATGGATCCCTGCAGTCACGAAAGCTTCAAGTCGAGATTGACATCCGAACTGAGACGTCACGTGCGTGCGTGTTTGCCGGGCACCCGCACGTTGACACACCGTGCTAATCGGAGGGTCAGCGGGGGGGGGGGGGGGGGGGGGGGGTGAGACAATAAACTAACACGCGAAAAGTAGTTTATAAAGAAACGAGTTCGTCAATCTAGATTCCAGATGGTGATTATTTAAAATCGCCGGAGCTCCCAGTGGCTTTGCAATATCGGTAAGGAAGGAGCGTTCCAGACGGCCGCAGAAGCGCGTCTCAAAACGACGATGACGACGATGATGACGACGACGGTGATGACAATGACGACGATGATGATGATGACGACGATAATGACAATGACGACGAAGACGGCGATAATGACGACGACGATGATGAGGATGACGAGGATGACGACGATGACGACGACCATGATGACGATTACGA